TGCGGTTTCAGGGTTTAGGGTTCAGGATTTCGGGTTTAGGGTTCAGGATTTCGGGTTTAGGGTTCAGGGTTTAGGGTTTAGGGTTCGGGATTTAGGGTTTAGGGTTTAGGGGTCAGGATTTAGGGTTTACGGTTCAGGGTCTAGGGTTTAGGGTTCAGGTTTTAGGGTTTAGGATTCAGGGTTTAGGGTTTAGGGTTCCCGGCTTAGGGTTTTACAGGAGGGGGCTCTTTGCTTCAGGGGCAATTCCACATGAGGTGGGGTATGTTTCCCAGCTTGTCACGTTGCGGCCGGCTCACACTGGTGGACGCCCTGCTATGATGCCTGTGTCTGCCTGGTGGAATGTCCATCCATTTTCCGCCCTTGTTGCCGCCCCGGTCCCCCTCCCTCTGGTTGCACCGGAGAGCTGGGGCTTCCAGGGTGCTGCCATTCGAGAAGCTTTCAATGCACTGCTTGAAGTTAGGGTGGCTAGCGGCTTTGCTCCTTTCGATGGCAGAGTTGCTGTATTTGGACCTGGCAGCTCTCTTGTTTTTACCCTAAACCCTAAACCCTAAACCCACCGGGCAAGAGACCCCTACCGCGAGTCGCCCAGGACCTGAATGTATTCCTACTCCGTGCTTTTGGACCAGGGCATGTGGCCTTTACTCGCCTTCACCTTGCCAACTGTGCCATCTTTGTGTATCGGCCAGCCTTTATGCAGCATGATGTTTCCCTTTGTCTGCACAGCCTAGGTGGTGGTTATGTACTCCGGCGTACGTGGCATTGTGGTATACTGTGGTGTGTAGGTCCACACGAACAATTTTGACTTGAAGTTGCAAGGGTCTCGTACATGCTTGTAGGAGTAACTGTGTTAACCTCCTGCATTTTTGGATGTAAGTTCTGGGAGTTCAGGGTTTGGGTTTAAGCTGCCTGGAGGCTTGCTTTTCATTGGCGCAGCGGGGTTCCCTCACAATCCCTTGTGCAACGCTACGCCATCCTGATTTAAGTGTACAGCCCGTGTAAAAACAACAGCCGCTGCAGGTACATCATGTCGGTGACAGAGAGGACGGCGCTTCGGCAAGGAAACATTGGCCTAGTGTAGAAGCTTCAATAAGTACACAGATAAACCCTGAGCCCTAAACCATGTTCCTAGATGTTCAGTAGCTATGGTGAAGGAATCCTCAGATAGACTTCAACATGACATTGCAAATTTTCAGGTATACGTCCAGGTCTTAAAGTCACTTTCCAGCTGGTTCTCCACTGTTCTGACAACAGTGCTGGTACTTACTCCCACTTGGACGGTCAGGGGTATTTAGTAAGTATACTTATATCTCCTCTATGTAGCTGAGCGTTGGTAATTGTGCACCAGTGTAGCCCCTTTACTTGCCAGGCTTACCATCGAACAAAACATCTAGTAGTAATTTGAAAGGGGCGTGTCATGGGCCCCCTTCTTCAATATGGAATATGGTTATTGTTTTGCCTTGTGAGTTGTAAGTATTCTGCATGCAAGCAGAGTCCCACCCTGGTGGGTTCGACCATTACAATACACATATGGTAGGTTCCCTAAATATGAGGACCCAAGTTTAGATAGACCCCAAAATACTATCGCCCTTATATTACAGCAACCCCAAAATTCAAAGGTACCCATATTCTTGGGAAGCGCCCATATCTAGTCTTCAAAAAACGACCCACCTTGTCTCTGTCTGACATTACTCCTAAACCTTAAGCCCCAAACCCTGAACCCTAAACCCTATAAACCCTAAACCACCTTAAACCCAAACCCTGTACCCGAAACCGGCGCTTGCAGCTCTGAAAAAAGGCGTCCGTGCTCCTGTGGGCCTACCGTGTGAGGGGGTTTAGGGTTTAGGGATTAGGGTTTAGGGTTTCAGGGTTTAGGGTTTAGGGTTCAGGGTTGAAAGGGTTTTAGGGTTTAGGGTTTTAGGGTTTAGGGTTTTAGGGTTTAGGGTTCAGGGTCAGTGTTTAAGGTTTAGGGTGTAGGGTTTAGGGGCTCACCCTAGATCTGACAGCCTAGATTCCACGTTGTCAAGCGCTTCTCGCCAATGCAAAAGGGGACTATCAACCTTTTTTTTGCGAAAGTAGAAGTAGCTGCCAAACGCCAAGACTTTTCTTTAAAGAGCTGGGAGTATATAAGGGATTATATGAGCTATAGTCTAAACTCCTAGCATCCTTCTTGATATCCCCCACAATAATCCCCTATATATGCCCCTCAAGGACTTTAGACTTCAAAGATTCAGATCCTTATACGGCACCTTCCCCCCAATACTAACCACCCCTCGCTTCATATTACCCTAAGGGTCCAAGTACCGAATAATTAATCATATACCTACCCAAAACCTATACTACAATTACTATTACCCAAAACCCAAGTACCCAATTATTAGGTACATGGACCCTCAGGATTACCTTTTTCTTATAAGAGCCACGGCGACTCATGTTTCGTAAAAGGGTGCTTTGGTGTTCATCGTTTAGCGGCAAACAATATCAACCTCCGCTCACCTCCTGCATGAAAGAACTCCACAAATAGCCTACGCGGAGCTGTCTACCCGTAACCTTTGCAGCCTTTTGAAAAATACCCCAAATACGGGGGCTTTGGTTGCGCCACCATGAACCCTATGGCTATCGTGTGACTCTTAAAGAGTCCACATGCCAGGGGTATGATTACCACTCAAACTTGCATCCCTTGCAGCAGGCGTTGGGAAAGACTGCGAAGGAAAAAAAACATTATTTCAGCTTATAGCTATAGTGTAACCTCCTAGTATACCCCTTAATAATAACCCTTGTAATACTTCCCTATATAATCAGGACTTTTGACTATAGTTCGATTTACATCCCCAAACCTGAGTTCTCCTAGAGTAGTCTAGGCCCTAAATAAGAGCAACAACAAAAACACACAGACGTCAGGTATCAAACCGCCTTTTCATAGGCACCTAGGTTACTCTAAGAAGGCTAGGAAACCATAATCCCTAAAGCTTGAATCCGAAACTCTAACCTAAACCCTATAAACCCTAAACCTTAAACCCTAAACCCTGTAAACCCTAAAGCCTAAAAACCTTAAACCCTAAACCCTATAAACCCTAAACCCTATAAACCCTAAACCCTAAACCCTATAAACCCTAAACCCTAAACCCTATAAACCCTAAACCCTAAACCCTAGAAGCAGAGGTGCCGGATCCTTCATTGTCATGGAGTACCCTGTCATGGTTCGCGCGTTTCAGTTTTTTAAGTGTAGGCCTAAGGGTCCAGGGACCCAAATAATGAGGTCTTAGGGTCTAAAACCCTTTTATTTGGGTCCTATATACCCCTATATAGTCCCCAAATATCCCTATATATCCCCCTATAACCCCTTTAAGGGATCCTATTATTTGGGTCCTTGGACTCTTAGGGTAGGTTTAGGCTGTAAAGCGTTCACTCTGACAATTCATGGTGTTCAGGAGATCAAGCCTGCAGACTTTCGGACGTAAGGGGTTGGATTGTAGGTTCAGGATTTGGGGTTCATAGTCCCCCTTAAGTAGATAGAATATGGGGTATATCTAAGATTTTGGGGTTGACCTAAACCCCCACAAGTATTTAGAATAATGGGCGTTTTGGTTATTTTTAGGTGTTTAGAGCTGTTATTTTACATGCTTCTGGGGTTTA